TAATGCCTTAGAAGGGAAGCAGTCCAGCCATTTTCTGACTTTATGTGTATTATATTTACTAAATTAAATAAATAATAGTAATAAATAATAGTAAATTAATAAGTGTTCAAGTTCAAGTATGTTATAGGCAGCGAGCAAGGTTATAGGGTAAACTTAGTTATTTTTTGAAGATTTTTAAAAGACATTAAAAAACATTTTACTATATCCAACCAATAGGCCTATGTAGCATATTTTGAGCGTCATAAAAATGCTGTTTGAAGAAAACACGCTTTTAAAAATAAACACTAAAAAAATATTTTTATCCCAAAAGCACTTCCATGATGAATACTGCGATTTTAGTCTTACCTTCAGGAAGATTACCATGTGGTCAGAGTTACTGTAACGAATATGCGTATCCTATTAAAAGATGTAGCTTTACTTAAAACAACATATAAGTTAATATAGTTGCTCATGACTGAAATTGGTCTGGGTAGAACCATGCTGCTCTTTAATTACAGCGCTTGTGCTGCAAATGCCAAAGATAGCAGAAATTAGCATCTTTCCATATTAAAAGGTACGTTTGTTTCAGACGGGCACATTTTTATCCTCGAAATCAAAATATGTCCCCACTCACTTGTTCCAGTTAAGACTTCACATTCTATTAAGTGGTTAACCGTTCTGATCACATGAAGCCTTGTGCCATTTATGAGGCCCCTTTTTGATGTATTAATATTCCTCATCAATAAAACCACTGCCCCCTTTTATTATTCTAATCCGTGTCTTGGCAATCCACTGACCTCTATATTAAAAAAACTCAGTTGGATTTTCTAGAGGGGTGTCTCCGCCTTCGTCTGTTTTCGAGGACCCACTCTTCTTCCCCTTGGCATACTGACAATTAATTACCTAACTTGTCAAGTCCATGTAGTAATTCATTAATACTGTTTGTTTATAAAGAAAATTAGATAAAAGTTACTTGGCTAGGTGCTTTCATAACTCTTTTATAAAAAAAATCAAGTTATTAGTAAAAAAAACCTATTTTTGTGTAATATCATTATTTATATGAAGTAGATGATTTGTTTGATTTGTCGATCAGCTGTTTAGTTTCAAATGAATTAATAATGTCAAAGATTTGTGATTTTTAGTACATAAATTATTATAGTAAAGTTTTCTAAATCATGGTATCTCAACTAAATTTTACTATTCCCAGCATTAAAATAAAGTAGTAAGATCCATTATGGGTAAACGTTAAGGTACACAATCCTTGATTGAAATGTAGTATACATTAAGAGTCATAATACCCAGCAATTATTATGTAGTAGACTTTGACTATTTTCAAGTAACAAACATATGTTTCTGTAAATAAAAATTATCTCCCATGTTATCCTTATGGAGAAATACGAAACTTTAAAGGGCCCTAGGGCCTCACTCTCTAATTATTTCCCTAAAAAGAAAGTTTCCTGCACAACTTCACGTTACGCTCTTTCCAATGACACCAAAAACATATCAATCGGTTCAGTAGTTTCGGAGGAGTAATTGTCACAAAAACCCTGCTTGCGTATTAAATAAGTATAGATAGATATTGGTTTGTAATTTATTATGAAACAGGCCAGGTGTTTTGAACAACCACCATATTTTTTTAATTTTTTCCCTAAAGACCTCAATCATGAAAATCGGTCGGGTAGAAGAGCCAAACGAACTCGGCAAAGAAAAACCAAATTTAACTCCCATAAGAAATACATGGGGAGCAAATTTTGTTTACGTATAAACCGAGTAATACTATAGATAATTATATGCCGATACTTGATGGCAAATTCGTGCATGCATACCTTCAATTTGAGACCTCAATCATGAAAATCAGTCGGGTAGAAGAGCCCATCGAACTCGGCAAAGAAAAGCCAAATTTAACTCCCATAAGAAATACATGGGGAGCAAATTTCGTTTACGTATAAACTGAGTGGGATTATAGATAAATATATGCCGATGCTTGATGGCAAATCTGTGCGTGCATACCTTCAATTTGAGACCTAAATCATGAAAATCGGTCGGGTAGAAGAGCCAAACGAACTCGGCAAAGAAAAACAAAATTTTACTCCCATAATAAATACATGGGGAGCAAATTTCGTTTACGTATAAACCGAGTAAGACTATAGATAATTTATATGTCGATGCTTGATGGCAAATCTGTGCGTGCATACCTTCAATTTGAGACCTCAATCATGAAAATCGGTCGGGTAGAAGAGCCAAACGAACTCGGAAAAGAAAAACCAAATTTTTTTAATATATAAGATAATATCAGTCAATCTTTTCCCTCGTTTATTTAAAAAAAACTTTAATAATTTATCATTTTTTGTTTTTTATGTATTTTTTACTGTCTTCTAAAATTAAATTATTGTATGTACTGTATTGTGTCTTCCATTTTAAGTTTACCAAAAGCTCAACCGAGCAACATATGCCTAGATTCTTTGCTTAAAGTCAATTTTTTCATTACGATTAGCAAAAGCAAAGATTTACAAAGTTCTGTTTATCACTCATCTTGATAGGAAATCTCCGCAGTATATTTGTATATTTTCTACATTTTATCGCGTTTAGTTTGTTTTGAATTCATTTTCTGTGCTATACTTTAAACATATTCAGCTTGTATAAATTTTAAGCTTACTTTAAACGCTTGATCTCAACGAATTTCTACAACTCAACAGTTATAAATAGTTAAGAAGATATAAATAGGCCTGTAGTTAAACTTTTATTTGTACACTAGATGACTAGTAAACAGATAGTTAGCCAGGCATGAATCAAAGACCTTATAAAATAAAAAAATATAAGAATTTATTGCTAGAAACCAAAATTTAAATCAAATCCATATTCCGAAATTCAATTACGACTTCTCCGTGATTAAGGCAAACTGTCAGGTCCGTTAGTGAAAGTTGATAATTCAATTTCAGTTCCAACTTTTGGATGAATCTATTAAATCACATTTGTAACAATCCGTTTATTCAAACAGGTCTTATAACTTTGTATTTCATGCATAATTCATTTAAATTAAGTGTTAAATATCTTAAACGTTAAATTTGCTTTTTATTTGTTCATAAGCAACTATATTATGGTTCAGTTATTGTTTATGAATTTCAATTTATTCCAATGATATACTTTAGTCAAGGTATAAATATGTTGTTTATAGGTGTAGTATGATAATACAATAAATAAAATGTGTAAATCTCACCTTCACAAATGTCTTAGATAGTACGTGGAATAGCCTGTTAGAAATCTAATGTTTCCCTTCTTCAATAAAACAATATATCAAGTAAACTATGCATAATTCACAATGTCATAATAAAAATAAACTAAAGTTTACTAGTAAAATTTTCTAATTATTTTTAATTTAATGCAAATAGGATTTATTCTTTAAAATAATGACTGACATTTTTTAGAAATTTTAAAATACAATGTTTTTATTCTTGAAGTCTCATCATAAACAACCTGAAATTTTGAGTAAACGTTATTGTTAGTTACAAAAAAAAAAAAAAAAACATGAACTATATTCTAAAAACAATGCAAACATATTTTTGAAGAAAATTAAAATAAAATCTTACTAATATGATTTCTATATTTAAATGAAGATCTCAGATGTTTAAATGGTTTCAATTACAGGCTCCAGAGGTAAAAAGAGATCCCGGTGAAAGATATCTTGAGGCCAGAGTTGATTTAGTTTTGGGGTTTTTAAATGGTTGAAAAGCATTGTGGTTGGTAGGAGGTTGGGGGGACATTTACGTCATACTTTCATTTACACTGACTCCCCCCCCCCCCCAACCCTTCGCTGTTCCATTCAAATGGGTCTGTTTAATGTTTTGCTCTTTTCCACACCGTTTAGAATAAATTTTACCACATGAAACCCTTGTTGAATTGAACCACAGCTGTAAACATAAATTTGTAGGTCTTGAGAGACAATGTAAGTTTTTAGAACAAAGTTGGATTGAAAATGATTTTGTGACTGCTTCGATTACATACTAGTTTTGTTTTATTTTAACATAGATGTTACTTGTTCCTTTTAGCGAATTTTCCATGGGAAAATGCCATTTTCGTAGGTCTCATAGTAAGACTTAGACTCGGGACCGATTTACTTTTTTTGTTTTGAGGTCCCCAGAGGCCAAAAACATCCTCTGTTCAAATTCATGTATATGTGTCCGTTAGTGCGATAAATCAAGCAAAAATTATTCAATTTTGATTAAATTTGGTACAAACATGTAAACCTATGTTTATTCTAATGAGTTTGCGAACCAGCATGATTGGACTGTGGAAAATGGGGTTTATGTGTTGTTTTATAGGGTATAAATAGTCTTTTCCCATATTTGACCCTAAAAACCACAAAATTTCACAATTTTTGCCAAACGATTTTGAAGAGTTAAAAAAAATAACTTTGTATGGAGTGTTGTTGTACGCCTAACAATTACGGAGATAATTCAAAAATTGTAAATTTAAAATTCCCATGTTATTCTTATGGAGAATAAATAAACTGTTGTAGTCTGCTTGTTTTTCGTTTTTATTTTAATTGAATTTGGCAATTTTGTTTATTTTTAGTGAATTTCGCTATAGGGAAGTAGCTATTACCGTAAGTTTCATGGTAAGACCTAGGCCCGGGACCGATTTACTTTTTCATTTTGATGTCCCTAGAGGAAAAAAACACCATTCTTTCAAATTTTTATATATGTATATATTATACTAAGTTATCAACATTTCAATAAAAAACATCAATACCTTCCCTGTAGCAGCAAACCTAAGTACTCATTAAAATTAATGTTATTTAAATAGGAAATAAATCTGACAATTTTAAGGTAATATTTTAGTAGAAATCCAGCCAGGTAAATGGAAATTCGCTTAGTCTGCAGATTTGCTGCAGCGGGGGTATTATTAATATAATTTCCTCTTGTGTTTCCCTAAAAACCTTTGCCGAATTTATCGGGAAATGGGATGTGTTGATCCATTAACACAATCACGATTATTTTCTTAAGATTTGTTTTCTGTTTCAGATCATTGTCATGAGTAGCTGAGCAGATTGAAACTTAGCTTTACAACCGTGGTGCAACTCGGTAAGTAAGAAACAACTGTTACATTTGTTTTCCTGTAGTTTGATAAATTTAATTAAAATCCATAACTTTGGTAAACCTTTTTTTGGAATGGTCTTTTGAATAGTTTTATACGCATTCATCAAACACACTCTAAACTTAAGTGAGCATTTAATTTCATAAGTTTTTAAAAGAAATCTTTTGTTTTTTTACAATGTAGAAAATCAAGCAAGGTTTAGAAACAATAGAGTATTGTAACAAAAATTGTAAGAGTAAACCTAATTTAATTATATTTTGAACACATTTTGGATAATTTCATACCAATCAAATTTTTTTACATTATTTACATTGGCCCTAGGACCTTGTCAAGGGGGGAGGGGGTTACCAGGGATGTCCCACACCAGGAAATGGGTCCAGGTGACTTTTTAAAGCGAAGCCATTTTTAACGTCTAGAATTGTGTCCAAAAACCTCAGTTACATTTTTATAATGAAATGTATGTATATAAGTTCAAATATCCAGGGCCCAAAGGGCTTTAGCCCTTTCCCTCTCCTTGGAAACGCCACTGATAATTTATCATTTAACTTCTTATGAGTTATAAAAGTAAGGTTGTTTCAATATTGTATGTTTTATAGCATTTTATTTAAGATTGAAAGAAAGGAAATTGAAAAATTCTTCCAAAAATCTCCAAAAAGATAGAAGTTGCGCTTTAACGAATAAATGAATGATACCGCCCCAATTTGCACCGGCTGCATTGTCAGTCACTGTGCCTTTGTTCCTTTTAATTGGATCATTTCATTTTTCGCTGCGGAAACTCTTTGTAATACTTTTATGACTTCTCCCTTTATTGTATTGTAATACTTTAAACAAAATATGTTATTTCATCGGAGAGACTAAAGCAATTAATTTCTAGTCTAAATCAGTTGTTCAGACAACTGAAACAAATTTTTACTGTTATTGGGAATGTCAAAGAAATAAATGCTGCAGAAACAAAACTGCAGTAATTCAAAAGCAATTTGCCGCAAAGAATTGCGTCATTTGATTTCTGTTGGTGGCAGAGCTGGCATGGCGTAAATAATGTGTTTTCTAATCCCAGGATTTAATGTCGGGTGGAATAAATTTACCGTCAATATTTTACGAAGCTTATTTTATTAGACAAATTTTTATACATGTTTATTTAGTACAGTATTTTGATTCAAGATAGCTTAAGTTGAATAGTTAGCCTAAATATTTTAGTTGAAGATAAAAATATTATTTACCCTACTTAAAAATCTTATGATTATCAACTACAGTTTTTTACACAAAGCTTGGTTCTTTCGGATGGATATAAATCAATTAAGGGCCAGTCTAATTCATTTTTTTTACAGTTCTATGATAATGTTTCATTTCTTTAAATTCCAGAAGGTAGGTTCTGATTCCACTTTTGAACACAAGTTTTACCACATATTTCATGATGTGACTCAGTTATATCCTGAAGGCCAGGATAATTTTATTTTAAAAATTCCTTATAATGTGAGTATACTGTCCCAAATATTTTAAAAATCATGGGTTTTTAAGTCATTGCTCGATTTTTAAATTTAAAATAGAGTATTTCTATGAAGTGTTTTTTTGGTTCTATTGTTTGTTTGTCGGTTCCCCCATTAGTGTAGTTTACTACAAACACTTAATAATAAAATTGTTGTGTGGTTTTGTATAGTGAGTAACAGTTTGATTGTTTATCAGATCATAATCTACGACCTCTGATATTATTATAGCCTTGTCTCACCTCAGTTCAGTGAGTGACGGAGTTGACAGTGTGAATGTGCTTTAGGATTCTTCAAATCAGGGAGTTGTTTTATTGAAACTTAGTTTTTTCCCAAATGTAGTATTTACCTTTTCATATGACTAAATTGAACAATATTTTGTAGCGTAACATGCCAAAAATGTACTTGTAGGGTAAATGTAAGCTCAAGTGAAGCTTTCTTTTTTGTTTTGACCTAGTGTAGTTTTCAACTGTAATTCAACATAGTGAAATGTCCTAATCCAATCTTATGGACTCGAGGGTGGTGTTGGTCGTTGGTCGGTGTACCGTGGAACAGTGGGATTTCCCGAGGTTAAATGTGTGACATAATATCCTCAGGATCGTTACTGTGTAAAGAAATTATATTTAGGTTCATTCTGTTGATGCTATTGAAGTCTTATCTATATAGGTAGAAAATATGAGTACCGTATCAAGATTTTTGTCTAAAAATTGATCTTTTGTGTGATGGGAAAAAGCGACACGGGATTGGCCCAGTTAGGGTTAGCTATCAGCCAATCCGGTGCTGCTTTTAGTCAACTCTGTGTTATTATCAGCCAAGTAAGTTTGGCGATCAGTCAGTCGAGCCTTGTAATTGGTCAGTTAAGTATCACCGTGAGCCAATTCATCGCAGCATTTGGTCATCTCAGTATTGCCATCAGTCAGTACGTCTTTATCGTGAGCCAACTTGGAAGTTTAATTTTCCAGTTTAGCAGAGCGTTGAGGAAGTTCAGTGAGAGTATTGATAGTTTCAGCAGAGAGGTGCAAAGGTTCAGTGTAATCATGGGACAGTTCAGTATTGCGTTTAGACATGTCAGTGCGACTGCCGGTCATCTTGCAAATGCTTTCAACACCATTTTTGGAGTTTTACGGAGCAGGAAGATGCCGTGGGATACAGTTTGTGTTGTTGTTCGACAAAGTAGTGAAGCTGTGTGTGGATTGGCAGTTACTCTTGGTGAGTTTTCTGCTATTCTTGGTCTCTTCACTACCTTGAACACTCAACTTGCGAGGGTCATTTACATTCAGATGGCCTCAAGAAGGACCTGTGAGATTCTTCTTCAGTACGCAGGGAGTCTCAGATTCTTCAGCACTGGTATCGGCCAACTCAGTCAGGCTATTTTCCAACTCAGCTTGACCTGCAGACATGTCACATTGATGTCTCTTCAGTGGAATTGTGTGCGAACTCATTCGTCAGGATGTTTTGAACCTCTTCTCAAGGTGTTTTCTACTTTCAAAGTGGTAGTGGTGATGATATATTATACAGCGTTTGTGGGTTTGTGTAGGCTGTACAAATTTTTGTTTGGGTACACATTAAAAGTATTTACAAAGTCTACTAAATTGTTTGTGAAATCTTTGAACCATCTGGGAAGAAGACTGCACATTTTGGATTTTGTTAGTGAATCAACTGATTCTAACATGATTTCGCAATTAGTATCACCAGGCGGTAACAAAATGATGATTCTTGTTCAGTTTATTGAGTTGAACAAATTTAGCTTTTTGTTGTTTAATTATAACCAATGGTTTTCTTTGTGCAACGGTTTTATGCAAGACAATAACCAACCAAGAATTTTTTGTAAAAATCACAAATTACAAAATTGTTCTAGGCTCTCAGACAATATCAACATTTTTGTATTAGTTTTATTTTCGGGAGTTGACAGTGATTCAGATACATTGGGAAAAGATTTATATAAAAAAATGCTAAGTATGAAAAGTAACGTTGAGATTGTAAACAAATTTGTGGACAAAGAACAAACTAATTTGGACCATTCTGTGAGTGCTATTTGTGATGAATTAGAATTTCAATCTATGAAAACAGTGATGTTTAAGCGTTGTTTTGACATTGTTTACAATGTGTCATTAATCAATTGCCATAGAGGTTTAGTAACCGTTAATAGCTAGAATATATTATTATTTTTCACTTCCAATTTTATTTAATCGTAATATTATTTATAACATAATAAAAGTCTGAAATCTTGGAATCTAAAGCTTCTGAAAACTGAATTAATAGTCCATTCAGCTCTTAATTAATAGTTTAAAGCTACAAAAAAAGGGATTTTATTTCTTTTATTTGTATTGTACAACAGCTCTTAAAAAAAATTAGCAATATCCCTTTGTTATAAAATTGTTTACAAACCTAAATGCGATTCATTTTTATTTATATATTTTTTAAACTTTCTCAGCATATTTAAAAAGTTTTGTCACATAGTGTCACAAGATTTATATTACTTTAAATCGTATGCACCGATAACATTTCTGTACCAATATTTTAAAACAAATGTTCATTGATACCATATTCTATATATTGTTGCAATATACTGTCTAAATTAATTGATACATTATATTTACTGTTAAAATAAATTGTTAATTGACTTGCAACCAACGACTCAGTGAAATTAAGTGTCAAATTCGTGGTAAACTTAAATACCGAGGAGTCAATTCTGGAAAGGAATCAGAGGTATGTAATAAGTTTTATTTATACTTAGTGTTTAATTTTGTCGTCTAAATTATATTATGAATTTAGATAAAATAATTTCAGAAAAAGTAACAAACACATATCAAAAGTATATTCTGAACTTTATAAATTTTTTATAAACAATAAAATCAAGCTATAAGAAACTTACACATATTTTGTGAACAAAAGCTCTCCAAAATCCGTTTACTGACAACTTGATAGACAGTAAGGGATTAGTTGTGATGGAATTGTCTCTGCGTTTCAGGTGTATGGACATTTTAAAGGTGAATTCAACTGCACGTTGAACAATGAATCTCAAACCTAAATATGTTGGTGTTGTATGACGGTTTTACAGCTGTTGAATTCATCTACTTGTAAATTCTCATGGTTGAAGATGTTATTCTCATACATTAGGTTCAGTGGAAAGGGGGTTCAATTCTATCTCATAGTCATAAAAAGGGGAATAGGCTGGGATGAAGTTTGTTTTAGCAAAAATGCTACAAACTCTCAGACAACGGAAGCAAAAATATTATTCTTTAAGCATTTTGAAAAAATTGCCAGTAATGTTACATGACTTACATGTTTAAAAAAATTACACATTCAATTTTATTTGTAGCTAATTTACTATAGCCTTAAAAAATAATGTTGTATTTTAAAGTTTTGTTAAGCAAAATGCTAAAAATGCTACCGCAGCTTAATCCCTGGTCATAGAAAAGGATAGTTAAAGAAAATTAAATACTCATAAAACGGTTGGTTAAGTGTAAGAGGTGCAATTTGGTTTTTTATTTAAAGGAAGT